CCATTCCACTCCGAGCGCCGTCTGTCCCAGAGCAGTCAGGTCAGACACCGAAACAGTTAAAGACTCACACTCTCTTGGTTTCTGTTCCATCACTTTTCATCTGACAGCTCTGATACCGAAGCTGTGATCCCAAAACACATTCTCACACAATGAGCGAGTTTGTTCTTGAAGACTGTGGTTGTCAGATTTTAAGCAGGTTTGACCTTGTTATTAGTTGGAGTATTATTTAACATCAGTTCTTATTTTATATTTCTTATTTTTTATTTAGTTTATTTATTATTTCAAATCAAATCAGTCAATTTTTTATTTCTTATAAAGTCACTCCATTACATAAAAATAAAAAATGGTAAGAAATCTTAAAGTTAAAGAATAAAACATATGAATAACAGAATTTGCATGAAATACAAAATTACAGTTATAATATACTAAATAGAATAGTACTCAATTAAAAGATAGAAAGTAGATATAGAAATAAAATATGTACAAAATAAAGTTTATATTTTTACATTTATTATTTATATGTTTTGTATGTATTATATATATTTATATGTTTATTATTTATACTCATATTCATAATAATAATTATTGGTATTGTTGTTGTTGTTAATACATTTGTACTCTTCTATTATTGTTAATATTTTGAATTAGCTTTTTTTCATTTTCATTTTAAATTTATGTTGTTTTAGTAAATTATTTATGTGCGTTTCTCATTTTTATTAGTTTATAATTTATATAGAAATTTGAATAATTTAATTTTGAACTGTAGCTTTCATTTTATTTCAGTAACTTTCAGTAATTTTAGTGCAATAACTATAACTTATTTCATTTAGTTGCCAAGGCAGCATTTCTAATTCTCATTTTAAGTAATGTTTTTCATGTAGTATATACTGTATATACACACACATTTCAGTTATAAAAAAAATAGTTTGGGTTTTAGTTAACACTGGTGCACTGGTGCAGATTAGTCAACAAATGAAAGCAGAAGACTGCACGAGTTTGAGTCATGCAGTGTGTGTTTGGTGCGTCTGCGCTCAGATGTGTGAATGTCTCTGTGTGTTTTCAGATCAGCGAGACGGGCAGCGGTATACTCACTCCTCACTCCAGCTCTGCAGCTTTACAGGGAGACGCCGAGAAAACACACGAATGTAAGAACATACTGCAGCCCATCCGGTAAAACATCTCAATGTTATGATTCATTCTTGACTTTCAAACTTTTATTTCTCGCCTCGCAGTACTGGATAAAGACGTCAGGACGGTTGAATTCACAAAGGTCAGTTACACTGATTCAGTCTTAAGGCCTGTTCACACAGAGAGACTTTTGCTTTCTGCTCATTCATTGTTTCCTCAATTGATGGTGTGTGTGTGTGTGTGTGTGTGTGTGTGTGTGTGTGT